CTTTTTGTGAAGTTATCATTAACACTTAAAGAAAAATTATTTCTGCCTTGATCTCCGGTTAGTTGGGTCTCGAAGGAGATATCCATTTATTAATTTCAAAAATCAGAAAAGTATCATATATATAATAGTTGAGTTACTCTCACAAAGGCTTGCCACCTAAGCACATTTCTCCATGACACATCAAATTTTTAAAAATTCATATTAACTATTTACAAAAAATAAATAAATTAATACACATTTATTTGGTCAAATCGTTAAAGATATTTATTTACCTACATTACTTTGGTCAAATCGTTCAACCTTCATCCTTAATACACATTCATTACTAAAATTAATTCAAAACAGTTTTTCCTTCGTTCTCATAGTATCACACTGGATTTTTGGTACAACTTCGGATGAAAAAAAAAATTTGTCACTCTCACGACAACCAGAAATCTCATCGATTTCGTTTTTTTTTTCTTCCTCATTAATTCAAGTAACCCATTCCATTTTTTCCTGAGGTAACAAATCCTTGAATATGATTAGTTTGTTGCTAAATGTCTTAAAATTTGCATCTTCTTGCCTAGGGTTTCAAACTCAAATGGTTTCAAAGTAGCCATCTACTAATCTTTATTCTTCTTTATATCGATTAGTTAAATTTTTGACAAAGGTGCGCTCCGCCCGTTCCGAATGCTTCATTGAGTATGATATTTCCATTTTTTTATTGAATTAGCTGCATTTGTTCTTCCTGATGTGTTAGTATCAATGTCCTTCCTTAAGATTAAGCATGTTTGTGTCTCTGAGGTCTTTTCATTATCTTGGTGTGAAATAAATCGGTCTTATGAATTGAATAATCTAACACTTAAATGAGGTCCATTTTTTTTACAATTCTGAGCACAAAAAAGTTAAATAATCATAACTCTAAAATATCCGATGAAAATATTCATTAGTGACATTTCAGTTTGTGTTATTATCTACTATAAAGTGAGAGCCATAGGTGATAAAGCTCAGAAGAAGCATCATGGTCAAATGTAGATATCAACAACAACAAGCTCGGAAGAAGTAAGCTAAAGGTTATAACCTTTGTATTACATTTTTTTAAGAATTATAGTTACTTTGATGATGAGAAAAACTTGCTAAGACCACTATTCAAAAAAGTTTTTGCAACAGAATAAAGTTTGGTTCGGTTGGTTTCAAATGACAGTAAAACTATAAATATATAACTATTGTGTTTCTTATCAAGTTTGTTGAATGGTGGTATTGTTTTCGAATAAAATTTGTTTGGTTTGTTTCACTGTTCAATGTCTTAAATATTTTCGTTTAAATCAAATTTGTCAAAGAC